CTGTGTGAATAGCACTATCTTAACTCACTCCAAAGTCACACATTTGGGAGCTGGCATGGGGGTGGTGGTGGTGGTGGTGGAAATCCTCTCTTAATAAAGTACCCAAAACAATGGCAGTCTATTCTCATAAAGTTATTCTATCTGGTTTCACCTGGCCAGGCTGGTGTGGCTCAGTGACTGAGCATCCACCTATGAACCAGGAGGTCATGGTTTGATTCCCGGTCAAGCCCAGTCAAGGCACATGCACAAGTTGCAGGCTCAATCCCCAGTGTGGGGTGTGCAGGAGGCAGCTGATCAATGATTCTCTCACATCACTGATGTTTCTATCTCTCGCTCCCTCTCCCTTCCTCTCTGAAATCAATAAAAATATATTTTAAAAAAGAAGTTTCACCTGTAAAGTTTAGGATGGCAAATTCTCCAAACAGAGTCTTTGCTTTAAAATGTAACCTTAGGGCCCAGTCTTTTATGGAAAGAAATACTCTGTTCAGAAACTTCAGCACTGCCTGTGAACATGCAACACCACCTAAGGATAAGTGGGTATGTGTGTGTGGTAGTGGTGGTGGTGGGGGGGGGAGGGTCAAGATTTAAATCAGGGCTTGTTTCCAAAGGAGGGAGATGGAGACGGTACCAGATGACCCCACTGCGTGCAGCAGAAATACTCCAGGAGCAAATCACATGCCTTTGAAGACTCTCAGACTACTGGGAGCACCAAAAAAGAAAGGAATCCAGACAGAGAGAAATGTTTCCTCTCCTTGAGTATGTTTTTGAGGGTAACTAGAGTGTTGGAATTCCCTTCGAGTACTAGGGATCCCTTCCCTCTCCAGAAACAAATAAAAATAACCCCTTCTACCCCTAAATCACTTCCCCAGCCTCTTGCCAAGCTTCCCATTGGCTGAGAAAAAGCATCCTCTAGCCTACAAATACCCTGTGCTCTGGGAGAAACTTCCAGCAGGGCTTCCCTGGGGAATGCAGACCAGGGCAAAGCTCTTCCTCTTCAGCAGAAACAAGAAGAAAGTTTGCTGAGAGGTTCACTTGCCAGGGAATAAATGTAAGTCACACATGCTGAGAAGTTGTAAATCTCTCCCCAGAAAAAAATGCCTATGGGCGGCTCAAGCCAGCCCAGCTTTTAAGAGCATTAAAGCAAACGCGCTAAGCCTAATACATTCACATATCACACATGTGGTGACTGTTTCCCATGCTTCATAACTCAGAGGGCAACTGCTGCTGTGTGGGAAATGGATGCTGGACAGGCGGCTGGTGATTTATGCAGCAGCACTCACAAAGGAGTGGACAGCCAGCCTGCCTGGGAGCCCCGGGTCCTGCCATGCTCCCCTCAACAGCAAGACCGGGTGGGAGCATGATCCAGTGTGTTTGGGGGAGTGAGAAGGGGACAGGGAAGGCAGCAAGCCTCATGTCACCATGTCTGGGCTACATACACTCTCATAGCATTTTTTCCCAATAGAATGTAATGCAAACGTATGTATGAAGAATTAATTAATTCACACGTATACCTGCTGTTTCATTCAGTTACATCTCACATCTAAAACTTTCATTTCATCTGAGATCCTGGGACTCGGTGTCTTTGTTTGTTGCTCAAGTGAAATACATGAGGAGATGGCATCTTACAAAAGCCAACTAAAAAGCCACCATCCCCTGCCCCCTTCCAGCATCAGGTCTGACACAGTTCAGGGGTGCCATTTGTGAGGCCATTACAGTTTCATAACCATGGACAGCAGCTTCGGACATGAAGGGGAAATGCGAAACTACCCAGAGTGACTGCTCCTCTCCACAATCCTTTGTTAACCAACAGCAAAGTCTTTAAAACACCTCGCTGAATGGGAATTCCCCTGCCAGTAGACACTGGGCCTTAGTAAGGGCACCTCCTACTGGCCCTTTTGGGAGCGAACTCTGCTTTCTTCAGCACCAGTTCCCTGCCATGGACTGGAAATGCAGAAGCAGTAACTAAGAAAAAAAGGGGAAGCAGATAAATGAGCAAAAGACCGGAGCGATTTGAATGAACAATATCTCAAAGCTGCACCCTTCACTTTCCTGGGACCTGTGCAAACTACGTCATAATTCATTTGCAAATAACAGGAAGGCATTTAGAAGTACAGGCAAGCTTAACGATTTAGATCCACAAGCCTTTCCACAGGCAGGTATGTAGAGTTTTGTCAGCCTTTTCAAATACAGGCATGCCTGGGGTGCCATTTGTGAGGCCATTACAGTTTCATAACCATGGACAGCAGCTTCGGACATGACCGGGGAAATGCGAAACTACCCAGAGTGACTGCTCCTCTCCACAATCCTTTGTTAACCAACAGCAAAGTCTTTAAAACACCTCGCTGAATGGGAATTCCCCTGCCAGTAGACACTGGGCCTTAGTAAGGGCACCTCCTACTGGCCCTTTCGAGAGGGAACTCTGCTTTCTTCAGCACCAGTTCCCTGCCATGGACTTGAAATGCAGAAGCAGTTACTAAGAAAAAGAGGGGAAGCAGATAAATGAGCAAAAGATCGGAGCGATTTGAATGAACGATATCTCAAAGCTGCACCCTTCACTTTCCTGGGAACTGTGCAAACTACATCATAATTCATTTGCAAATAACAGGAAGGAATTTAAAAGTACAGGCAAGCTTAACGATTTAGATCCACAAGCCTTTCCACAGGCAGGTATGTAGAGTTTTGTCAGCCTTTTCAAATACAGGCATGCCTGCTGAAGAAGAAATGAAAATAAAGCAGTTATATATGGCCTTCACTCTATAGACGAGGAACTTCCGTGAGAAGAGGGGTGTTTAACTAATTTAGATATTAGTAAATCATATATAAATGTCTCATTTAACTCCACCCTTCCCCTGACAGTCACTTGGGAAATTGCTTTAAAATATTTTAGTGTAAATGACACCACATCATTGTCTGTTCTTGCACACCTTGCCTAGTGCGATATTTTCAGCCAATCATCTCTGGCCAAGCCTGGCAGACTTTTCACGGAGCCAGGGATGCCCCCTCTGAGCTTCCCCTCCCCTCCCTGGCCGTCTCCCAAACTGCCCAAGAAAGCGCAAGCCAGTCTCCTGGGCTGGAGGAGGGTGCTGTTCTCCGCAGCAGCCAGTGTCTGCTGGTGCTGAGGAGGGGGTTTGAAAAGGACACCTACTCATTACTTCGGGGATGACCCCCCCAACCCACCTTCCAAAGGAGTAATTGCTGAGGACAAAGCTCTGGGAGAGAGGAGCGGGGGGAGGGAGCAGCCCAGAGGGAGAGATGGAGCCTGGCAGGCTGCTGGGAGCTGGGATTCAGTAGGCGCACTGAGCGTGAGCACACACACACACACACACACACACACACACTGTAGCACACGCACAAGCAAGCTCGCTGCTCTCGCTCTGACCACAGGACGGAGAGGAGTGAGGGGAGGTGTGGACGGTCAGCCCCCGCTGCTCCTGTGTGGCCTCCCCAGGGTTAGGGAGGCTCCAGGGGGCTCCGCTTCCCGGTCTGAGTCCCCCGCCTGCGAGAGGCTCCTTCTCCGCTCGCATCCGCAGCCCCGGGCCGGCCGCCTTGAGCAGGAACAAGAAAGCGCAGCTCGGGCTCAGGGCAGCTGGGTGCTGGGCCATCCCCTTCGATTTCCTGGGCGCCGGTTGGGACGCTCCTACCCCAACGCCTGGCTCCTGCCAGCCGCTCTCCCCAACCCCCCTATTTGGGGAAAGGTCTTTTGCAGGGGATTGGAATACTCAGCCGGCTCTTCCCCACTCCTTCCCCGCCAGGCCCGCCCCCTGCACCTCAGTGCCCATCTACAGGGTGCGGAGGCCCAGCCGAACCAGTGGACATGGACATGCGTCCTTCTGCTCTTTCACACATTCTCTGTGGCCTTGAAGCCCGGCTCCGGACTGGGAGTCTGCAGCAGCCCGAGCATCTCTCAGACCCTCTTTCTCCCGCTCTCTCCCATCCGGTCCCCAAACAGTTGTGCCATTTGTAATTACAAACTGCGCTTGCCAAGCGCCAGCTCCAAGGGGCTGGTGCCCCGGAGGAGCAGGCATCCGAGTTTGGAAGTGTCCTGGAGACATCGGGGGCTTCGCTGGGAAACGAAACCCACCTTCAAACACATGAAACACGCCTCCTGCCTCCTACAACTCTGTGCCTCTTGTAGGCACCGCGGTCCCCTCCTCGGAGGGACCAGACACGGGAGCCCGCCGTCCCTTTCCTGATTCTGTCACCAAACGGAGGCGCATAGAACCACCAGCGGCTCAGCCCACCACCTACAGTCCGCGCAGCCCCCTCAGCCCCCTGGGCGACCCGCTCCGCTGGGCCCCGCTGCCCCAGTTCCCCTCCTTCGTGGGTTTCCACGGGTCTCCCAGGCTTTACGACTCCAACCGGAGCTTTTCAGCCACGACCCCATCACCGCCTCCTCCCTGCCCCGGCTGGCCAGCTCCAAGCCAAGGCGAGTATTGGCAAAAGCCCAGAAGCCAGAAGATCAGATTTAAAACCAGCGATGGGGCGCCCCTCTCCCCAGCCGCCAACCACCTCGCCCCCAAACGAAACA